TTAAATTTATCCAGTGGTCCATGAGATATTTTGCTAACAGACAGGGTTGACTGTGATTTATCCATGCATTTTTAGGTCTTTTATCTATTAGCTTTAAAAATGATGAAGCCTTGTGTGGACCTTCTAAGACTTCAATATATTACTCAAACCGACGTTTCACCATCTTAACAAATTTATAAAATGTCTGCCTCTGCAGCAGTGGTGGCCTACGATGAATAAGGTCTTTGAAACTATGAGATAGATTTATTATTTTTTTTTTAATTATTATTATTGTTTCATATTTTTGCATGATACATTTAGTGTGTGTATGTTTTTGAATGTTTTTACAGAAAACTTGGCTGTGTGTGTGTGTCACATTTGACCTATGTGTGTGTGAGTGTGTTATGGATGGACGATCGTCACAGGCTCATGGACTGCTTGTGATCCATGCTGGTGCATACAGTGTGTTTACATGTGATACATTGCTGCATACAACTGTGACCCTGTGTTAGAGCCCATTTTCTGTGTTGCTGTGACCCAGAATGTTTTTCTGTTTTCTTCAGAAAAAAGAGGAGCAGAGAACAGAGATTTGAGCTCCATTGGTGGGGTGGCCTGGACTCCCACAGGGCATTGGGCTCTGGGCCTGACCTGCAAAATGTTACAGATCTGTGAAAATGCACCAACCATGAATGTTTGTGTTTGTGTGTGTGCGTCTGTCTGATTTGGTCTGACAATGTGCATATTGATGCACTGGTAGGGGGAAGTTTTATGAGTAATAATCTGCTAAATGGAAAAACAAAACAAAACAAAAAATATATTTATTTTCTTTTGATTTGTTGTGTTTTTTGGTCTGGTTTGTCTCTTTGACTATRTGACAAATTATGTGTTTTATTTTGGAAACTCTGTAGAAAGTTGTTTTGTAGGGGTCAGTCTACAACAGAGACAGAAACATTTTTTCCTAGGAGGCCATTTTGACTTTTCTCCTAAAACTGAAGAGCCACTCAGTGAAGTAAAACATCGCACTGGGAGCCACTGTCATCTGTTACATAAAGTATCACATTGTCTGAAAATACACACACACTAAACAAAAAGCTTGCTCTGCTTTGGAAACACATAGTTAAGATTTTGACATGATTTTTGTGAAAATTATATATTTGTTTCTTTCTTTTTAATGATAATCTTTAAGCATTGTTAAAATGCCAAAGCAAAATACAACATTCTATCAGCATAATAAAAAATGTACATACTACATGTAAACGAGGACTTCAAGTATCAATTTTAGAAAATATTTCATTCATTCATTCATTCATTCATTCATTCATTCATTCATTCATTCATTCATTCATTCATTCATTCATTCATTCATTCATTTATTTTTTAAACATCCAATAATAATCTCTTAAAATTCTGGTAAAACCAGTTTAGACCTGTTGTGATCAAACATACAATTTTCTGATCCACTTAACAAGCAAACGAACAAAGAAACAAACAAACAAACAAACAAACTATTGTTTCATCAATTTTGTTCAAAAATGTTGAAATTTGTTTGAGAATATGGAGGAATGGTATAACATGGAAAAATACCATCTTTGTCTACAGGTCATATTTTGCTTCTTTGTGATCTACTGTATGCCCAAATTCTCTTTCTAACCTATACTTACCACATTACAATACCAAAACATGTGAAGAACAGAGGATCCAAATGCTTTATTGAGGACACAACAAAATAACTACAAGTTCACAAAACAACATCTGAACTTGACACCCCCTGTCCTTTGGCTCAATGTTTGTTATCACAAGGGGTAGGGGTTAATATATTGCATAGATTGCAACTTCATCGTCACATTATTTTTACACAGAGACAATAT